TATGGTCGTCTGAAATATGGCAAAATTCAGCGTACAAACGGAATACAAAATATAATGTACTTTACGCGGGTGGTTACAAATGAAAGAAAGTTTAGTCGGAGATGAAATTTAGTTGGAGAGCTATTCCAAGGGATGAAAAATAACTTATGAAAAAATGAATCCAAGATAATTTTTTCGTTGTCTTGTACGAGCGTTGTGAAAATGCACTGAAAGCCCGATAGAAATTATGCAAATTAGGTACGTTTTGGCCGATTTCGAACTTTCGTATTTTTGCTAAAATAAAAACTTGCTGGAACTTGTGAATATTATTTTTGAAAACAATTCACTAAAAGGGTCTTTTGAAGCAAATAAAAGAAAAAGTTGAATTTTTGCTTCCGTCGCCGGATTCTTGAAAATTACTGACAACTTCTCTTAATGTCTCACTGGCATAGCATGTTGCTTGATTCAAATAATATTACCAGTTATAAATAAAAAATAATGACAGGCTGGCTACACAATGCTATAGCTAGATGACAACCAGTAGCATCATTTTGAAAGAAACCTTAGAAACGTCCTTTGTGGGTGACATAGTTTTCTAAGAAAGTTTCGGTCAATTTTTTTCTACTTATTTAAACACAAATATTTTATATTGTACAAAATTGGAATAGATGTAGTGATAGCGCAAGAAAACTCATCAAACATTTCAACTGATTGTATCAAAGCTGAAAAGTGTCCTGATACAAATGTTTGCCATACTAATTATACGGAAGCTTGAACAGTTTAACTAAGGCTTCCTGAAAAACACACGACTGATATCCGAGAGATTCTAACTGTGTTCAAAGTAATCTAAGATCAATCTTAAAGTGATCGGTGTCACAGAAAGACAGCAATTAGCCTTCGAAAGAAACACGCAAGATAAATACTTAGGACTTTTGTTTGATTCTAATAGTACTTAGTTGGGAATACAGCAATCGTCGGCTGGTGCAAATTCAAGCTTGTTCATTGAAGTGAGATAATTGCAGAAATGTGCCGTGGCTTTACTGAAACTCTTATATCTCCATTGCTTGTCCATCGGGAATTGTTATTTAATTTATTTACTCAGCCTCAGATTTGTGTTAAGTTTGTCGAAATCAAGATGCAAACTGACAAGAGAGTGAGCTGCTAAGTATAAATAGCTATATTTTTGGTATTATTGATGGGGAGCAGTCTATCATTGTCATTTGGTTCCTATTTCAGAAATGGCTTCAGGATTTACACCAGCTGCAAAACGCTCCCGAACGGAAAATGAGGGAGCTTCAGTTCGCAAGCGAGGAGAGGAGCTTGGCATTCCTTCGAAGGACATCTGCCCAGCCAAGATAAGTAAACGGCTTGCGGTTTGTCTGATAGGTCAATCAACAACTAAAGTTGGCTGCAGAATTAGGGCAGAAAGCATAAAGCTGTTTATGATCCATTTGCATGATCCTGGGGCAGGAAAGTCACCTGCCTTTCAGCAGTGTTCAACCAGTAAGATTACATGTTGAGGCGAAAGAAGATATCCACTTGTTTGTGGATGAGTTCACTGAAGCAGAACTGTTCCGCCAACTCAAGGGGACACCCGGCCACAAGGCCATCATTGGAAAAGAAGAGGCGTCCCATTTCTTTGAACAGTTACTTGGAGGGTTACGAGAGAAAAACACGATTGACTTTGATAGGTTGATCCAGCTGTATAATGGGGGTACATGGGTGTACGCGAGAGATGACGAGATAACATGTCAGTTCATCGACAATCCAGCGGTTTCATTGAGTGGATATAGCCAGCCTGGTCGCTTTGTCCCCATAAGCTGAAGGAGAGACGAGATAGTCGTGTTGACAGGATGATTGTTTATCAACCACTCCCACATCTCATGGCAGCCCGTGAGACGAGAGAGTTCATAACGAAGCTGAATGAATCTCCTGTGAAAGACTTCAGGTAACTTTTTACTAACAATTTATATTTCTCTCTAGCTTTCTTTCTTATATCACATGTTTTTTTCACTGGGATATTTTGGTTTGATGTGAATTACTCTGCAACATACATCTTGTAATACAATTGCAAGAGTAGAAATATGCAATTTGGATGGGGTGTATGAGTAACCCTTTGTCATTCTTATGCAAACCAGCATTTCGTGTCTGCAAGTTTTTACAGTAGTTTGTCCATCAATGGTGAACAATTCAGAAACACTGAAGAACTTAAATGGAATTAAACCTGATTTTTTTTTTCTTCACGATTTCAGGGTCATCCACTCGGCCATTAATGAATTTTCAGATTCAGAAAATGGGCCAGCTGCCTACTCTTTACACCACGCTGGCAATGAAAAATATGAAGATTTCATTGATGGAATATCAACGTCTTTGAGTCGCCAATGAGCTCGTAACATGTCATCTGAGGATGTGTCTTAAGACGATAGATATGTTTTAAGGCTGGCTACAGTTCTACATGTGCCCTATGACCAGTTGCCATGACTTTTAATTTCGCAAGATGATTATCTCACAGCTAGAACTTGGGCCGAATGCGGTGCTATCGATGCGAAAGATTTTCACTATCAAAGTTTTCTTGTCTCTTGTCCATCTAGCCGGTGGGATCTTGGAAGGGTTAAAAAATGCCGCCGACTAGAGTTACAGCTTATATATTTAGCCAACTTAACCCCCATGTTAGTCTAACACTACATTGGAATCACCCTTTTCAGGAATATTTCTATGCTCTTTGGTCTCGTTCCTCTGGCTATTGGCATCTTGGATGACTAAGAAAATATAACCGTGCAGCCAGAGAGACAGCCTAGCCTATATATATGGTGAAGTAAGTTTGAATTCATTTACTAATTTATGAAGAACGTTTGAACATCTCGCTCTAGTGTTACGCTTCCATATTGTTACTTGATAATTTCGAAAATGGAACAGGTATATATTTCGTCAGAATTTAATTTCGCGGTTTGGCCAAAAACGTATATTAAAAGGAACTAAATTTTAAGTAATAATTGTCTAAATGCTGATCTGTATCAACAAACAGTGACTCTTAGAACTGGCCGTCCTTGAAGACCCAGGGGCTTCGAGTCGATTTCAAACCAAGGTGGGAGAGCTTGAAGTCGACCCACTGCCCCTGGGTCTAAGAGGATGAGAATTGACACAACTGCTTTTAAGTTTCCACGGCAGTAGTTTCCAATGACACTGAACAAAATTATTTTATGATAAAAAAGAAAATGAAGACATCTTATATGTTACTTTACAAGGGGCTTGGTAGGAATAGATAATTGGTGACTGCACCTAGGATATCTTACAAGAAAGGTAGGAAGAAGATGATATTGATTCAGACAAAGAGAACTCACACACTAAAACTAAAATAAAGAAAATGGAGAGCAGATTATGTGGTAAACTGACGTTTACGTTGATTAAGGTATTATATTCCAAGGTGTTAAATTTCGCGAAAACCTTTTCATGCAAGTCACCGCCGCCTGGTTAACATAGGCGATTGAGTCCTGGCTGTCGTGTGGGAGTTGGAGGCGTCAAGCGTTAACGGGACACACACTGAGGGTCTTAAAATAACTGAGGAGAAAGTGTTTCCTTTGCTATGATATCTGCAAACGGTTAGCTGTTCTAGTCTTCTCGGATAAGGACGATAGACCACACGCCCCGTCTCTTGGTCTTCTCAGTAATAGATTAAGAAGGGGATGTTAAAGAACCCACTCACTTCTCGCAAAGAAAAGAGAACGTAGCTCCCGTTGTTGTGGTCTGGCCTTGTTATTGTTTATAAATCTTTCAAGATCCTCCATAAGTATTTTCTATATAGAGAGGTGACACAATTAAGGAAGAGGAAGAAGAAGAAGCATTTTCCGAACGGGGAAATATAGCACGTGATGTCCATCTAGGCTTAAAACCAACCTTGAACCTTTGGCTGATGCCAAATTTATTTTAGTTTGTAAACTTATTTTGTTTAACGGTGAAGCCTCGAAGGATGGGCTGCTAACTGCTCTGAGTTGGGCTATGGTTCCCATCCAGATTTCCTGTGATATTTTTTCCCCAAAGGGGTTTTATCTGGCAGGTTTTTTTCTGGCCTCCGTATAACCGTTGTAGTGTCTTTCTAGGCGGTTGCCCATCTCTGTTAATCCCGACTTGGTGACATCAACATACTAGTGATGTATACCTATTTTTGAATGTGGAAGGAGTTGATTGTATATCAGGATTGTATATGGTATATCAGTTGCGAATGTATGCATGTATTTACGCCCCGGGTTGGTTCTCAGCAGGCTTCCTTAAAAAAAAAAAACGTATTTGGTTTACACTACTATGTTATTTGTTGTGTGGTGGAGACTAAATTGGTAATGTATTGCCGGCGGATTCTTAATTTGGCATTCTCAACTGAGTTCATATCGTAAATTGGCCTCCGTAAAGAGTTACGAAGCAAACGTTTCGAGCGTTAGCCCTTTATCCGAACTAAAGCTCGAAAAGTCAACTTTGTAATTCTTTACGGTGACAAATTTTCTTTATCAACTCAGATCACCCTAATCAACATAAAAGTGTGATAGCTATGCGATACGAGTTGTACACGTACCGTAAATATCTTGATGGCTTTTGTATTTTCTGTTTAAGAACGCTCAATTTATTTTCACTAGTGTAAGCAGATTTCAAGCTTTTTCTATTCTCTCTCATAATCTAGACACATTTGTTTCAAAATTAGTCTCATTTGAGGGTACCTCGTTTGCAATTTGTACATCCATGAGTTCGCGTTTCATGAATATTCTATTTCACCACATTTCAATTTGTTTATTTACCGAATTATCCCTTCAATGCTTGCTCAATTTTTTTGTCACGAGCGTAGTCTTTTAAATATTCTATTTTTCCCGATCGGAAGACAAGCCTTTGTGTCAAATTTAGTGTCATTTGTGTTGACACTAAAAAATATAGGTCGATCCGTCTGCCTCAGCTGACAACCGTATTGACTCTCTGACTGAATTTGCTTTTGAATATGCAAAGTAAGATGTGTGCAGCTAGCGAGCTACAAACCCTATTCATAAGATATAACATCGCCATCTTGTGTATTGACAAGAAGAACCTCGATAGGGTTTTGCTAAACCAAGTCTCACCAACACATCTCCTTCATCAGCAACAGCCGGAAGCTCGTCGTTGATCACAGTGATCCGGAAACTAAATGGTTTTTGACGTACGTCTTCCATTATTTTGCATCTTTGTTCGCTTTGATCGGTGTTATACAGTGTATTCAAGTGTTTTCTTTTGCATCTGTAAATACCAACAGACGGGCAACGAGTGTGTTCGTGAAAGCACTCGCCATTAAAATCCTCCATGTTGGATCCTCCTCCATAAGGATGTGAAATTTCTAGAGGATCGCGGCTTTTTTCGAAAAGGTGTTCCTCTTCGATCTGAAGATCAGGATCTTTAGAAAGCCAGGTGGAAGTACTTTTCCGTAACGCAGGCTTAATAAATTTACCCTGCTCCATATCTAAAGCGATGTACACTCCATTGCGCCTCTTTGCTTTGACGATGATAAGAAACTTCAATAAATTCTTAGACATTTTCAGAGGAGCACTCCAGCGACACTGAAGGTACCTGGGTCAATTTTTGCTGAGTGCGTGTCACTGGCTTTTTTTACAACCCCTACCCACTAAAACATTCTGTGGCCAATCACAGACCCCATCACGGTCACTTTTGGTAATACGTTGACAACTTCATAATCCCGAATCTTCTCATTTTCAAATCCCTACTTACTTACGCCTCGCGAAATGTGCGACCCCATTCTGGTAATTCTATTGAAAATGCAACCCCAATCAATCCAGCTGTGAATATGTGACTCCATCCAGCGGCACATCCAATTAGCCTACTCTCTCAGACTCAAAGGTAGCACTGCTGATCAGATTCCAACAGTTAGCCATGAGGAGAAGGGAGGTTTTGATTGGGATTAAGTCACAACTACGAGCGTGGAAGGTAAGAGTTTCTGGCTGTGTTTTTAAGGGGCGGTTGGGCGGTTTCCTACCCCTAAAAGTTTTGAATATATGAGAAGATTAGCACATCACTTGGAGTTTTGGCATAAAATCGCTATCGAACGCTATTACACCCAAATATACTGGAAAAACCCACAAAGGATTATATTATCAGTATAAGAGGGAAAACATTATCTTTCTTTGCCAGAGGAAAGGTGCAAAATTGAGAGATCGCCAGGCGAAAACGGAAAGTCTTCGACTGTAATGTGAGGTGCGGGAAATCTGCCGTGCGTGTCTTTTTAGAATCTTAAGATGCGTGACCTGTAGCGAGAAGTGATTTGAAGTGAATCACGCGATGTTGTTTGGAGGCATCTTTAATGACAACTCGTCTGCAGCTTTAGGAGAAAAAAAGGTAGCTTTTTCTTTATGTGTACCTTAAAAGATTTCTGTTATATTTTTTTTGAAACGATCTTTCCTCCCGACGACGAGAAACACATCGCAAAGTTAGTCTTCATAGCGTGACTGTGTTACTCGGTTTTATGTGTTATTTTACCTTTGAGAATAATGACATGTGCGCATGTCGTGAACGTGTCGTTCCTCTGAGTCTGTTAGAGTACCAACCATTTCAGACTCCTTTCGTTCTCTCGTCGGAAGATCAAGAAACAGGGAGACAAATTGGTTCAAACTCACGTCAGAGTTGACCCGGAGAAAGCACAGGTACAGACAGAATAATAAAGTTATTCGCTTTGTAACTTTAACTTACATTTCGTTAATCCGTTGTTGACTTACGGTAATTCATTCGCGCTAACGTGTATAATCATAACGCGAATAAACTTTCAATACGAGTCTTTGGAGCGTATGTTGAACATATATTCGATGCATAAGCTATTTTTTCTCATTTCAGGACGATTGCTTAGCCTCTTAACGTGCCGTGGGTGTAATTATTTCGTTTGAAGCACTGTTCACGAAAAGAACATGTGAAGAGTCGATCATGAATTATGAATTGATCCTCACTAAAAAATTTGAATTCCATACTTTGGGGTCTGTTTCGTATTCAGACGAACTGTTTTACTTTCAAGAGTCGTTCCTGAACTAGATTAAAGGGACAGGTGATGCTTTTGTGAAGATCAGAAAAACGTAATGCGTATTACTGAAGGGAGAAGTTGCCATTTGCCATTGTGGAAACTGAGAGTGAAACCCTTTTCACACGGTTCGTTTCTGGTGTTAGAGAATGACTTGCTTCCTATAATTCAATAAAACGTTTTCCGAGAACTCGATTTAGGCATTATTTGTCGATGCAAGTTTTTCAACAAGAATTAATATGCTTTCAAATTAAATTTGCTATTGAACCATGTAACATTTTGTTAATTACTGTTGACTTCCTCGCGCATGATTATTTCACATTCTAAAGTTCCCGTATCAACACCTGCTCGGGGTGAATAAATTAGTTCCTTATGGCTGCCTATGTGTTTATTCTTCGTCAATCTAGATATTATGCTGCTTAACAATTCTACACGAAGTACAATTAGCCCAAGTTTCCCAAACCTATCAGTTTCCCAAACCTTTGCAATTTGTCAAATTACATATTTACATATTGGATCTCATCAGTTCCCAGTTTGACCTGTTTTGTTCTAAAGTGAGCAGCCATCAGAGGATTCCTCTTAAGTTCAATTATTTTTCAAGGACCCCTTTTCAGCATGATCCAGCGAAACAGCCTTATGTCGTTGTCTATGTCTTTCAGATTGTCCTAAAGCTTTCTTCATTTCATTTTACTGTTCAATAGCAACAATTACTGCCTTAAATATAGCACCCTAAATGAAATTTTTGTTGTTGGCATTATCTCTTACATTTGATCAGAATTTATTCTATGTTTTTATTTTTCAGAAATTATGAAATATCCATCATTTTCTGACTGCTCATGTTGTAATTTCATAAAGGCAGGAAATCTAAACAATGTAGGTATTGATGTTCTTTTTCTTTCTCTTTACCTGTGGCTCTTTTCTCTCCATTTTTTCCCTCTTTAAATGTGATACATATATGTAAGGATTTTTTGTGTCTTATTCTCATAGGAATGAAAAATGTTTATGTTATTATGTGCTATTCTATTTTTTTCATGAATATCATTTTGCTTTGAATATGAAACATGACGCTAAAGTAGTAAGATAGGTCACCAAGTAAATAATTTCTCATTATATTGCACCTTGTAGCTGAAATGCATCTTATGATTAACAAGTTGCTTTGGTTGTTGCAGGGGTAATGAACAATATAGGATGCAACTGCTCGCTTTAATGCAAGGTTCTGTATTTGTGACCCTCCATACGATTTTAGGGACAAAGGTGATAAGCACACTCACAATATGCTTCTACTTAAAGCATTGGTATTTATAATTATCAACTTCCTGATCAGAAAAAAACAAAGTTGAAACATTTGGCCATGAATGAGTTGCATTAGGATTTAAAGCAGACACTTCAAGTACTTTTTTCATCTGGAGAGGTTACTTTTGATGATGTTTGTAGCATTTCAAAGCACAAAATCTAACCAACATGGTCTAGATATTCATAAATTGCCATTACATATAGCTATTAATGGCCAAAACGTTTGTGTAAAAGTGTATTTCATCAAATGGCCAGAGCGATTTTTAGGGGATGGTAAAAGTAATGAAAACCATCCTGGCCCAATTTACAACAGCTTAAATGGTGAAATTTGAAATATTTTATGTCTAGCCTATAATCATGGTTTCAACATCAATATCTATGGTTTGTCCTTGTGGATGTTGTGATGGATGTGATGCCTCAGTAATGTTGCTAATGACTATTATTCTTGTGATTTCTGTGGTCACTCTAGAAGTAGCTATGGAGGATGCATATTCTCAGTCTAATCATGCAATTGTATAGATGTATATCTTTCTTTGTAAAATGGCCTTTGTAATGATATGGCTGAGATTTTTTGGTTCATTTTTTAAGATGCTAGGCAATGAGAGATTTTAACTTCCAGGCATTGCAACCTCTGCTGGCTGTGTTTAGATGTTTGTTCTGCTGTTTATGGGCTAGAGGCAGCTAGAAAATATTTATGGCTTTGGCACTGGTGAAAATTGTATGGGGTTGCTGCACTTATCCTTACAATGGTAGCCAGAGCTGCTTTTTACTGGTAGTATTAATCAGTCATGCTGAGTTTCTCTTGAGTAGATAATTCACTTGACACGTTTTTGCCAGTGGACGCTTTTTTCTTTGGAGGTGGTAATATTGTTCCAGTGATCAATGAACTAGGGCACCATATTTTGTACTGGTGCATGAACCTCAATGACCTATGTATTGTATTGGTGACAGTTAGAGCTACCTTCATCTGGTAGAGTTAGCACACAGCTTTTAAGAAAGGGTGCATTTCATAACAGTGACTGTGCAATCTGTTGTCTAGGGTTGTACTGACCTAATCATCAATAAGCAGAGAAACCATGAATTGATAGAAATGCTTTTAATGTCCCCAGGTGTGATAGTGAAAGAGCGACTTGTTAGGAAATCTGCAAATTTCCTTCTAAGTTGCTCTTCCATCCAGGAATTTTGGTGCTGGGAGGGAATTCCGGTGTCATGTTGGGTGATATACCTGTAAGGAATTGCATTTAGTTTTCCACTTAGAGGGATGATCAATACCCCATACTGCCTAATTCTATGGACATTGGGATAGTTAAGGTGTGTAACATGGGTTTTGGCAAGCTGACCCATAAGCAGCCTTTCTAGATGGTGCGTTATAGCTGTAAGCTGCCATTTAGTGATTTTTGTAAACAAAGTGACCTGAAGTAATATCACTCCTGTATTTGTTGTGTTGGTATTTTCTGGTCTAGTCATGGAGTTGGTTCCATTGGCTGACCTGATAACACACTGATTCCATATTGATGACAAATTTCCTAACACAGTGTTGTTTGTTGGTGGTTATGTAGTTTTTGTCCTTGGAGGGATGGTGATGGATGATGCTTCTACAAGTATGCTTCAAATGACCAAGTTAGTGCGATGATCTTTGCAGGGTGGTACATTGAGGTTGTGTTGTCTTGCTTTGATGTTACACTGTGAATATATATTTGTGTCAGCTTGTGGATCAAAGTGGAGTTATGGAATTCAAGTTTAGGTATAATGGTAAAGCTGGCAATGGTCAGATCTTTGTGATGCTACATGAAGTAGTAAAAACGGGTGCGGCTTTTGTATTAATTCTGGTGGAATTGTTGTTGGACTTGTCCTTGCTCTGGAGACTGGAGCTGCACTTAAATCACTGGCGATTCTTTTATCAAAAGGAGTCATTATTTGCCAATTGAGGTGACTCTGGTATGAGGGGTAGTGGCATTCGCTTAATGCCTATGGCTTTGCCTTTTAATGTGTTGAGCATGACTTGATTTTGTGTGTTACTCGATTGTCAGTGATGGTTTTAGTTCTCGTGTAGTAGCAGTTTCGGAAGCACTGTTAGTTGGGGGATGTAGGGGTTAACTAACCAACTATAAATTATAGTTGGTGATGTTATTGCAGTTACTACTCCTAGATACATCTTAAGACTTACCTATGCAGTAGTTATTTGGTAGTGATAAAGGTGGAAATGTTCCAGAACGTGAT